AAAACGGTTTCGCGAACCAGGCAATGTAGAAGGCTGAAACTTTGCAGGGATATTCTGTATGCACGTACGAGACAAAGTTTTTAAACTCAGCTCTCTAGCTCCCCAACCACAGCCTCAAGCAGCTCTTGAACCCAAAAACCGTTAGCAACTCGGATCTGAACCGCAATTATATATGCCAATGAACATGGATTTTTTGAAAAACGACCGCTCAAGCAATACTTTCAATCTTTCAATAAACTAAAAATTTGCATATTTTTAAAAATTCGTTCGCAGCTCGGACCTTAACCGGAATCGTACATGTAAATGAACGCAGATTTTTTGGAAACGACCGCTCGGGCAATACTTCTACTTTTTAGTGAACTGGAAATTTGCATTTTTTCAAAAAATTTGCACTTGCCATTTTTTCACGGAACGAGCATTTGCCAAAAAATGAGCGGACTTCAGGCAAAAAACCGGAAATCATGCACCTGGATGTCCGTGCGGCTCTATAATGCACCGCCTTCATCTCAACTGATGCCCTTCCTCCTGCATGGTAGAAAGGATCAAAGCACGGCCAATATTAGCCCAAATGTTAGGCTGCAGCGTAGGGATCATTCCTGCTAATATCGATCTGTGAGTTTGGTGCAAAAATGCATGATCGCACCGGGGAGCGTGGTGCTTTCCAGCCTGGCTTAATTTATGTGCTAGGATCTTGATCGGACATTTACTACTTTTAAGTATTTTGCTGCAAATGGACTGCATGTATACGTACGTATGTATGTATTCCAAGTATGTCTGACTACGTATTTCAGCCTTGGAAAAGCGAAAGCTAGTAAGATTGCATGGGAAAGGTTTCCCACCGTGTACTATTTCTTGAAAATGACACCATTCTCGAGGTCACCCTGTATCTTTGTCTTCGTATTCACTTCCCAGTTCAGACATATCGTGTGAGTACATAACCAAAATGGCTACAATTCAGGAATTTGAAGCAAAGTCTGCGGTTGTGTACAAGGCCGAAAGCCTGAAAAATGTCCTCCAGTTCGTCCTGGAACGAGCAGCAATCTTGGATTCAAACTTACGCGAATTTCGTGGTTTGAATGCCAAAAAATACACTGTTTGAATTTCCCAAATAATAAAGGCATTTTTGAAAAATACGGTTTTTTTGGAAAGTAAAAATAAGATATGGATAAGGGGCCAAAAAAGTGCGAACGACTTTTTGAAAGGCGGACTATTTAAAAGCGAATCGTCTTTGCGAGGGAATTTTATGTTGTGCAGCATTGTTCATTGCTTTGCTGATGCGGCTGAAAGTGAAACTGAAAAAGGGTAACATTTAGGCGGTGATCAGCAAGAATTTGTTCATTGCACGGCTGAAGGATGCTCGTACCTCTCCGTGCTGTCGTGAAATCACGGGGCAGAACTGTACGGACCCTATTAAACTGGCCAATCCATCCTTTCATCACCCATCTGAACGGGACGGCGACACGCTGAAACTGACATGGCCGGACTGCTTTGATATGTCCATCGATGTAACATTGCCACCAAGTGAGTGCACATCGCTACTTCACATCGAATGGGTACTATGTCCTTTAGCAACTCTTACTGATTGATTTGTTTTTACGCGTTTTTGCGTATCTGCAAATTGCAGAAACGCATATTGGGAAGAGGCTGTCTGTGTGTGCGTGCGTGTGTGCCTGTGTGTTCGCACTTTTTGTCACCCACTTTCAACCCGAGAACCAGAAAAGCTACAAAGCTGAAACTTTGGGAGTATGTGCCCATACCATGCGCGATCCTCCCGTTTTAATTTCATCCCCCGCGGACGCCTAGGTGCCTCGTACGGACACTTAAAAAAATATGCAAATTTTTTGGCGGTAGAGCGATCTCGGGAATCACATGAGCTAAGGGGCTGAAACTTTGTAGGGATATTCGCTGTGTATATATTAGCTAAAAATTCCAAATTCAGCCCCAATTTATGCGTGGTACTCGCGTAAGGGCGCATGAAAGTTTCTGCGGAAAAATTACTAACTCAGGAACCAGAAAAGCTAGGAAGCTGAAATTTTAGAGGAATGTTCCCTGTCCAAGTACAACATAAGTATTTCAAATTCAATCTTGAGGTATGCGTGATTCATACGTAAGGGAATTAAAAAGTTTTTTCTCACTGAACAGCTAGGTTACTTTTAAAGAACGACCGTTAAATGGAAGTTGTACATTTACTTGTGTAGGATTTATGGTGATTTATGCTAGTAACCGCAAAAGGTAAGTGTAAAGCAAGTCAGTGACCTGAGTAAAGCAAGTTAATGACTATTCATACAATCAATGACCTGAGTAATTCAAGTCCGGTGCAAAAACGCATGATCGCGCGGGGACACCCGGTGCGTTCCAACCAGAGTTCGAAGATCATATGTCTGCTTAAAAATCCAATCGCGGTGCATAGCACAAAATTAGCTAAGGTACTTTTTCTTTTCTCCCTCTTCTTCGATCCACACCTCACTTCTTTTCCTTGAACGTTTTAACGTTTTGAAAATTAGTATCAACTTCAGCTCCACTACCCCAATGAGAAAATTCTGAAGCCAGCGTGTCTTCTGAAAAACCGACCTTGGCTGCGATAGAGTTTCACTAATAACATCTGAAACTGAAAAAGACTGATGATGAGCTTTTGGATGAGTAGCGAATTGATTTAGAGGTTCACATCAATCGTCTGGCGATGAAAC